CCTCACACAATTCCCAGAAGAAATAGCAGAGGAATTCCGCAGATATTACACAAAACTGTATAACATCCACACGGACCGAACAGACGGGAATCAGGAAGAAGCTACCAGAGCAGTGGAGCAATACCTGCAAGGATTCCAACCAGAGGCGCTCACGAAAGAGGAGGCGGAAGCACTCGAAGCGCCGATATGTGAAGAGGAAGTCTGACTAGCAATCAAGGAGACGAAGAATGGCAAAGCACCCGTTCCGGACGGTTTCCCGGCTGGATACTATAAGAAATTCTGAGACATCCTGATCCCCCGACTGACCGCTGCGCTACACCAACTGCAGGAAGGAGACGGGCTCCACTCAAAAACAATGGCCGCCACCATTACAGTCATACCCAAACCAGGTAAGAACCCAAAATGCTGCAGAAACTACCGCCCCATTTCGCTCCTTAACACGGATATCAAACTATTCTCTAAGATCATAGCAAACAGACTACAACCCTACCTCCCGAGGCTGATCCATCCAGATCAAACGGGCTTCATACCAGGGAGAGAGGCCAGAGACTGCACCCTGCGGACGTTCACTTTCCAGCACCTAGCACAAAAGGAAAACAAGAACCTGCTCCTACACCTCGCTCCTTCAACAAATTGAAAGAGATCCGAAATCATGGAATCATGACTACATCTCTTGGCAGGGACGAATAGCGGTGGTGAATATGAATATAATGCCAAGACACCTGTACTATTTCAACACCATACCCTGGCATATACCACCGGACTTCTTTGCGACAATGAAATCAGCGATCAGCAGCTACATCTGGAAAGGGTGCAAGGCGCGACTGAGCCATGATAAACTATGCCTACCCAAATCATCAGGTGGACTAGCGCTGCCTGACCTACGAAAATACTACCATGCAGCTGTCCTACAGTGGATAAGGGACTGGCACACAGCTCCGAACCACAAAAGATGGGCAGAACTAAACAGGGAAAGCAGGAATGGTAACCTCCACTCGCAAGCGTGGCTCCAAACTCGGGGAGAACAACCAAATATGAGTAAGACCTCACCCATAGCACAAACACTGAAAACATGGGCTATAGTGAGAAAAGAATCTTATATATCCCCACAACCAAGCCCACTGATCCCACTGACATACAACGCAGCTCTGGGAGGCAGCCTACTGAGGAGTGCATGGCCAGAGGCAGATGGAGAAAGGATATCTACCTCTGAAAGAGGCGCTGAACAACGCAGGACTAGAGAACCTACGAGAATGGACCGGGACCGAAACCCCCTCACTAATGCATAGATTCCGCTACGCACAGCTAAGGCATTTCTACTATAATATCCCAAACAGAGAGGGAGTACATAGAGACACGACATGGTTCGAAAACCTGTGCATTGACACACCTGAAGCAGATGGGAGGGTTTCCGTACTATGCCAGAGAATGCTAATAGGCGACCGGGTCAGAAACATAGCCTACAAGAGACAATGGGAAGACCTCACGGGCAATGGGAACAGATCCTCATACTACAACATAAGAGCTCAATCAGCTCAAAATACCAGGAGACCAACTTTAAACTGATCTCCCACTGGTACCGC